CACGCCTGACGCGGACAAAAGCTGAAACAGCCTCGTCTTCGCAGCTACTCCCTCCGTTCGGGGAGGAAGGAGGCACGCCTGACGCGGACAAAAGCTGAAACAGCCTCGTCTTCGCAGCTACTCCCTCCGTTCGAAATTACTTGTCTCAGAAATGGATATATCTAGAACTAAAATACGTCTAGATACATCCATTTCCGCGACAAGTAATTCCGAACGGAGGGAGTAGGTGATAACGGCCGTGGGCCCGTGTTTGCATAAGCCCACGTACTCCCTGTGTTTTTTTCAAAAGTACACCAACGGCGTACCATATTTTTATAGAAAAGAGAATGTTAATTATAAGAGCGGTGTATTGTAGATGCGAACATCCACGTAGGCTCGAAACCACCTTACACCAAAGAAAAACAAAAGTCACTCTCACGAAGGGGTCTAAACCACCGACACCTAGTCCTGCCTTGCTCCATGCTTTGATCTCGTCTAGGGCTAAGTCTACCAAGTGCCTCGCCGTCCGCTGCTGTTGCTGCCTATTGAAGACCCTAGCGTTTCGTTGCTTCCAGATCAGCCAAGCGGTGCCAATCACAAGAGAGTCGAAACCTTGTCGTGCCTTGCCTGAGAATTTTCATCTTTGGGGAAACCACCAGTCTTGGAATCTGCCCGTGGTGTTGGGGATGTACTCCATGTGTTTTTTAACGCGGTATAACTGAAATCGTTCACGTACTCGAGCACACACTCTTTTTTTCGTGAATACGCAAAGCATGTGTATCATTCCATTAATAGAAGAAGATCAGAACGAGTACAATATGTGATACAACACGTGACACGGATGCAAGAGGCGTGAACATGGTGATCTGAGGAGAGAAGCAAGGGAAGCTTGGCCCAAAATGAGAAAAAGACAGCAAAACTCGCCATCATGAGAAGTAGCGCAAACCACCAACAAGACGACCAACAACCTCATATCCAGGCCCGAGGATGCCACGAGCAAAGAAGACGACGTCTTCAAGAAGGAGAACGACGCCGAGACGCCGCCGTTGTCCGATCCAGATAGCCAGATCTAGGGTTTCCCCCGCAGCTTGAAGAGGGGCTCAGAACCGGCCGTGACAACGCCTCCAAGAAGGGAACGACACCCGTGGGTGTCGCCGCTGCCAGCATCGAATGCAGGGATTTTGCCCTAGGCATGCACGAGCATACACTCACTCATATGAAAGCATGCCCGGCGAGTACTAATGGAGCCGGAGTCTCTAAGTGCACATGTGCTGAAAGCTAAGCACAAAACCTAAAACAACTAAGCTCACATATGTGCACCAACAACTCATGCTAAGCAAGATAAACCAACTAAGTGATAGCAAGATATATGACATGAAACAATATGGCTATCACAAAGTAAAGTGCAAAAGTAAAGGGCTCGGGTAAGAGATAACCGAGGCACAGGGAGATGACGATGTATCCCGAAGTTCACACCCTTGCAGATGCTAATCTTCGTTTGAAGCGGTGTGGGGGCACTATGCTCCCCAAGAAGCACTAGGGCCATTGTAATCTCCTCACGCCCTCGCACAACGCAAGATGTCGTGATCCCACTAAGGGACCCTTGAGTGGTCACCGAACCCGTACAAATGGCAACCCTTGGGGGCGGTCACCGAACCCGTACACTTTGGCAACCCTTGTGGGCGGACACCGGAACCCGTACAAATTGCTCGGGGCAATCCCACAACCTAATTGGAGACCCCGACGCTTGCCCGGAGCTTTACACCACAATTATTGAGCTCCGAGACACTAACAACCATCTAGGGCACCCAAGCACCCAAGAGGAACAAGCTCTAGGGTACCAAGCACCCAAAAGTAACAAGATCTCAAACTTCACTTCCATGTATCACCATGAAGAACTCAAACCAATGGCCAAATGCAATGGCAAGGGCACACAGAGTGCCCAAGTCCTTCTCTCCCAAATCCCACCACAATAACTAATGCTATGGAGGAAAATGAGAGGAAGAATGAGGAAGAGAACATGAATAACTCAAAGATCTAGATCCAAGGGGTTCCCCTCACATAGAGGATAAAGTGATTGATGGAAACGTAGATCTAGATCTCCTCTCTCTTTTCCCTCAAGAACTAGCAAGAATCATTAGAGATATTGAGAGTTAGCAAGCTCGAAGAAGGTCAACAATGGGGGGAAGAACACGAGGTAGAAGAATTAGATCCATTGGGGAAGAAGACCCCCTTTTATAGGACACCACGAATCTGCCCATTATGTTGCAGAAAACACAGGAGCAGTACAACCGCTAGGCGTACCAGTACAACCGGGAAACATGGGTACCCTGCAGAAACCTTACTAAGCAGTACAACCGGTGGCGCGGGCAGTAGTACCGGTTGAAACGAGTAACCAGAACAACCGCTCCATCACCGCTCAACAACCGCTTTAAAACAAAGAGGAGTCACCCCCGAGCGGTAGTTGTGACGGTGGTTGCACCGGTGCAACCGCCAGGACTGAGGACAGGTGGTGGCTAAGTCCCGAGCGGTACAACCGCTCCGAACACCGGTAGTTCCGCTCAAAACTAGTTGACCGGACCAACCGGGCCACCACCACCCAAGAACCACCCCACGACAGAGCCAAGTCCGGTGGTAGGGCGTTAGTGAGCCCTGATACGTCTCCGTCGTATCTACTTTTCCTAATGCTTTTCCTCTTGTTTTGGACTCTAATTTGCATGATTTGAATGATGCTAACCCGGACTGACGTTGTTTTCAGCAGAACTACCATGGTGTTGTTTTTGTGCAGAAATAAAAGTTCTCGGATTAGCACGAAACTTTTTGGAGATTTTTATGAAATAAAAGAAAAAAACTGGAGCCAAGAACCACTGGAGGGGGGCCCCTGAGTGAGCACAACCCATGAGGGCGCGCCCCCCTCCTAGCGCGCCCAGGTGGGTTGTGCCCACCTGGTGGCCCCGCAGACCCTGATTCTAACGCTATAAAATCATATTTCTGGAGAAAAAAATCAGGGAGAAAGAATTACCGTGTTTCATGAGACGGAGCCGCCTGTCAGTGTCAAAACCGGCGGATCTTGGGTAGGGGGTCCCGAACTGTGCGTCTAGGCGGATGGTAACATGAGACAAGAGACACGATGTTTTTACCCAGGTTCGGGCCCTCTCGATGGAGGTAAAACCCTACTCCTACTTGATTGATATTGATGATATGGGTAGTACAAGAGTGGATCTACCACGAGATCAAGGAGGCTAAACCCTAGAAGCTAGCCTATGGTATGATTGTTGTTGTGTCCTACGGACTAAAACCCTCCGGTTTATATAGACATCGGAGAGGGCTAGGGTTACACAGAGTCGGTTACAATGGTAGGAGATCTATATATCCGTATTGCCAAGCTTGCCTTCCACGCCAAAGAAAGTCCCATACGGACACAGGACGAAGTCTTCAATCTTGTATCTTCATAGTCATGGAGTCCGGCCGATGATGATAGTTCGGCTATCCGGACACCCCCTAGTCCAGGACTCCCTCAGTAGCCCCTGAACCAGGCTTCAATGACGACGAGTCCGGCGCGCATATTGTCTTCGGCATTGCAAGGCGGGTTCCTCCGAATAATTAATAGAAGATTGTGAACACCAGGACAGTGTCCGGCTCTGCAAAATAAATTACACATACCACCGTAGAGAGAATAATATTTACACAAGTTCAATCTGCTGACATACTTCGTGACGTGACGTCACCCATGGCCAAGCCTTTACTCGAATCGTTTTTGTCATACCACCTCAGCGCGTTTAGCGAAGCGGTTTCCTTGGCACGTCTTGTCGAAGCAGAGATCGTGTTCCCCTTATTCCGGGATTATCATCGATACGGACGTGGGTAACCCAACCGCGCCATAGATTGTGGCGCTTGGGAGATAAGCGAGTTTTACCAGGCTGGTGGGGACGCATAGTTTTGTCCGCCCATATATAAGGGGATAAGGATCCACCTTTTTTACCTACGCCTTCTTCCTCCTTTGCTTATCCATCTCCGCGCACTCGAGCTCCAGCGCCCAAGTCCGCACATCTCACCTCGACCTTCTCCAGCCATGTCCGGAGCGGGAGGCAAGTGGATGGCCTCCTCCATTACGGAGGGGCACATCAAGAAGCTGCGCAGCGCCGGATATCTGTCTAACGACATCGCGCACCGGCTCCCCGATGAGGGGCAGCTCATCCCCACCCCCAGGCCCCATGAGAGGGTGGTATTCCTTCCCCATTTCCTCCGCCGACTTGGCTTCCCACTCCACCCCTTTGTCCGGGGGCTCATGTTCTACTACGGCCTGGATTTCCAC